GCCCCGCGCCCGCGCCGCGCCCACATGGGTCTGTGCTACAGTCTGCGACCGCTGCTCTTCGGGGACCCAGAGGACACCCCTCGCGCGGCCTCGGAGACGCCCGCGGAGGGCATGCGGCCCGGCCCAGCCCCGGCCCCGGTGGCTGGGGAAGACGCGGCCCGGACCCCAGCCCCTCCGGGCGCCGGCCAGAGCCCTGCTTGCTCGCGGCCCAAAGCCGACCCGAAGAAGGAGCGGCGGCGTCGCCCGGACCAGCTGCGCGCGGAGGAGCGCGAGGCCGAGCGGGAGGCGAGGAAAGTGAGTCGGGACATTGACCGCATGCTCCGCGAACAGAAGCGGGATCTGCAGCGGACGCACCGGCTCCTGCTCCTGGGTAGGTGCGGCCAGCGCCCGGACTCACCCGGCGCTCGCGAGCTCAGGGAGGGACAGCCCGGGCCGGTCCCCGAGGGGAGCGCCGCTGTCATCCCTGCATAGGGTGGGCGACGCTCGCAGATGGGATTCAGACGGGGCTGTCAGTCTTAAATCCTGCGCGGAATGATTTTTGTCCTGACAATATTTACTTCTGTGATTTGGAGGAGAACACACTACCCAGTTATTTTGCTCTTTTCCACACCGCTGTTTTGGCCAGTCGCTCACTTATGACTAATTAATGAGTTTCTCTGGGAATTTTTCCTCCTCAATTGATTTATTTCCACAGTATGTAATCCACAGGGATGGCTAACTCGAGCATCTCATTTCCTGCAGCAGTAGTCATGCTGCACTTTAAGAACACAAATGAAAGTAGATTTATAAGGCCTTTTAGCTTAACCACAAAGCTTTTATTCCAATCACAGAATAATAGAGTTGGTAGGTGTGTCTTGTTCCCTTTCAAAAAATGACTTCAGCAGCTGAAGATATGGCACTTCTATTTCATTGAGTAAGTTCAACTCTGGTGTTCTCAGACTGTTTGCTCCTTTTTCAGAAGCAGAACAACGTGGCAGGCTCCCCAGAGTTGTTAGCTGGTGCTAACTGCATGCAAGAAAGTGAGCACAAAATCACCAGGGTTTGAAAGTAATAAACTGGTATCTGGTTTGCTAGTATTTTCTTACAGCTTCGGCTGTAGCAAACATAATAGTTCTACGAGTTAACAACTGGAAAACATTTCCCATGCAGTCTAATGTAGAATCAAAAAATCATGAATTTTTGGTGCTACTTGTTGCCTTTTAAATTGTAAGGCAAAAAAAAAAAAAATTAAGATATGGAATTTTGACCCAAATTTTGTGAGATATAAAGAATAATTGTTCAATTCTGTACTCTGCTGTGTGAAGGGAAAGAACCTATTCCATGACTTAAGATCCCTGCTTATAAATGAATGTGACTTTTATTTAAGATCTAGAGAACAATTAAGTCTTCAGTTTGGAAGTGCTCACCCATTGCAAGAATGAATAATTAAAACAACACAAACCTAGCTTCTGTAACCTGGTGAAATATCTGAATTCTAAGGTAAAAGGAAATTTTGCAGGAGAAACAAAGAAGAAAAAATAAACAAACAAGCAGGTTGCCTGAAAAGGGCAGCAGACCAGATCAGAAGCAGAGTTTGCATCCACAGTGCTCACTTCTAGAATATAACAATGCAATGTTTCCAGAAAATACTGCACAATTCTGAAAATACTGAATTATAATCCTAGAATTTCATACCTCGTTAAACCATTGTTTGTGTGAGAGAATAAAATAGATTTTCAGCTATGCACGTGCTCAAAGTATATCCCCACCCACATAATTTCCTAAAAACAAAAATTTTTTTCCAGCCTAATTTTTTAAATGCGTCAGATTAAAATAAAAAGGAAGAGGATTGTGGTCTCAAGAAATAAGAGAATAAATAAATAAGCTCTAGAGTTGTGGTGATATATTGTTGTTTTAATGTGAACGTATAGTTGAGCAGAAGTGGGTTTCTTTTTTAAATAAAAGGAATGTGAAACAGAAGATGCTTGAGATATATAGAAATTAATAAACTTATAATTCTGTGAAAGAGAACTGGAAGATAAGATCTAAAGAGTGGACTGGTGAGCTCCAAAGAGCCAACTTCTTGCAACACAGGTTGAAAAACTCTTTAAAGACCTTATTTCATAGCCTAACATAGCTTGTATATCAACATCATATCTGAAATGACAATGAATCAAATGACTCACTTGAAAGGGAAAGTGTATCTTCTACCCAATGAGGTCAATAGTATAACATTGTTACATCAGGTGGGCATTGTTTATCAGCTTTTGTGTAGATTTGAATTAAACTCAGAAAGATTCCTGGTTTTATTTGAATTTAGAATGGATTTAGCTGGAAATCATTGAATCAGAAGCCTACTTACAGACCATTAATATCCTCAAATGCTTGCTTCTGCTGCCATTGTGTTTGTTTAATAGCCATTTATCTCAGTTACTAAGCCCATTCTCTTACTTCTTCTGGAAATGTGCATTGTGGGACAGAGAACTCACAGGTTCAGGAAGGACACACTTGCTTCAGGGTACTTCCTTATTCCATGCCCACTGGTCTTGGGTTAGTCCCATCTTCCAAGATGGTATTTCCTCCAAGAGACCTGCCCAGCGTCCTCCAGTGGGAATAGATGTTTAATTCCCTTGTGTCCATATTGAATTTTATATTTGCACCTCTCGTATAGCACTTTGTTGCAGTCTAAATGTGCTCTGGTTCCTCCATGGGTTCATTCTGATGACTGAGCTTCGTTTCCTGCACAGGACTAGAAACCTGTGTACCCCGCATCATGCGAAGAGCACTAGAGTCTGGGAGGGCTTCGTGGCAAGAGTGACATAGCTCCATTTTAACTTTCGGATGGAGCATTCTTTCAGGCATGGGGTGGCTGGTAAATCCAAGGAGTACAGGAGTAGGATGTGGATAAGGTGAAAGTTCCAGTTAGAAGGCAACAGATCCAGAAGGGCTCATGGATTCTGAACTAGAATAGTGTAGTAGGAATGTGGAGGGAATGTGCTTAGAGAAGTGGAAGGTGGACAGTGGGGCGGAATTCTCAGATAACTCACATCTGGATATGAGCTGTGTGTTTGTCGACTTGACTGGCCATACAAAATGCCACAATGACTTAAACTAGCGGTCCCCAACCTTTTGGGCACCAGAGATGGGTGCTGCTATAAGAATCTAATGCCTGATGATCTGAGGTGGAGCTGAGGCGCTGATGCTAGCGCTGGGGAGTGGCTGCTAATACAGATGAAGCTTCATTGGCTCACTGGCTACTCACCTCCTGCTGCGCAGCCCAGTTCCTAACAAGCCACAGACCAGTACCAGTCTGCGGCCCCAGGGGTTGGGGACCCCTGGCTTGAACAACATTTATTTTCTCACATTTCTGGAGATTTGAAGTCCAAAATTGAGGTCTATCAGGACTGGCTTCTGGTGAAGCCTCTCTCTTGGACATAATTCAGTCCAAAACTCACATAAAACAGTGTACGCTCTGTCTAAAAGGGACAGCAGATCCTAGCTTCATCCTCTTGTTGCCTTGGGAGAATGCAAGCCCAATGTTGCCAGGCCTTATGAATTACCAGAATAAGATGAAAATGCCTATTTTTATTTGAAACCTACTTATTTTTAAGCATTGCCTAAATTTAATAAAACACAATTTATGTGACTGATAAAATCAGGCTGCTTCTTATCTCTGTTCTATCTTCAGCCACACAGACATTTATACAGGTTGTACACTGAGCTCCAGGGACAGCAGCTCTGGGTCAACACCAATTAAAAGCGCAGTTGACAAGGCTGGGTGTGAGATCAAAATATTTACCCAAACAGATATTGCAAGCGAAGCTACATTCACCATTCTTCTAGTGAATTTTTCTGACACTGAACTCATGGAGTCATAATATAATAGATGCCACTGATTCTTCTTCCACATCTCTTATTGACCATGACATAAATTTCCTGTTCACTACTTTATGACTGGAGAAGAGTCATCATGTACCCCTAACCATTTAATATTTTCCTTTTTCCAGATAATTGTTCAAATTTAAAATGGCCAATTATGGGTAGGATTCCTGTTTTTCGCTTTACTAAATTATTTCTTGTTGTATTTTTTGTGTTTGGTATTTCTCTTCCAGGAATACATTTTGAGAAGGAAGCAATCTCTTTGAGACAATTATTGCTTTTCTTTTGTATTTGGCTATTAGTATAAAACAGAATGCTGGAATGACCTCTGTCTGTGTCTTTAGTTTCTCCAATTGGAAGTTCTCGGTGCAGTCACAAAAAAACAAAAGCAAAAAAAAAAAAAAATGGGAATATTCTCTAATGTGAGGTTTTGAACATTTTTTTAAAATAAGTGTCTTATTTTCTTGATAGTAATGCATTCAGTGACCTAGACAGCAGTTTCAAGGTGTGCAGTAGACTTGGGCTGTGTGGACATCTAGGACACATTCTCATCAGTCTACTGCTTTCATTTGACCACAACAGCCTGCTGCAGCACTTTGGCTGTTAAAATCAGAAATCCCAGATACTCTGGCTGTGCCTTTTTTAATGTCACAAAAGCATAACACTTCCTCCCAACCTTGGAAGAGGATGTACTGCAGTTGTTTTAGTCAAAACTTCCATATCATTCTCTTATATATACTATTGCTACAATTTTATAGATTTGAAGTGGCCATTGTTTACATGAAGCCAGATTTCATCCCAGGAATTCAGGTTGTTCTTTGACCTGTCTAAACACTGAAAGTTCAGAGCCCTCTTCAAAGCCATTCTCTTTGTCTTGTATCTTCGTCAGCTCCATGGCATAGACAAGACATTTATTTTCTCACAATCCCAGAGACTGGAAAGTCTAAGATCAAAGCTCAGCAACATTTGGTGTCTGTGGAGAGCTCCCTTCCTGGCCTGCCTTCTCATGTGTCTTCACACAGCGGAAAGAACGAGCTCTGGTCTCTCATTATTATTAAGACACCAATCCTTATGATTGATGAGGCCAGTCATAATGAGGCCTACCCTTATGGCCTCATTTAACCTTAATTACCTCTTAAAGACCCTCTTTCCACATAGAGTCACATTGGAATCAGGGCTTCAATATATGTATTTTAAGGGGACACAATTCAGTCCATAGCAACTTGCAAACCCACTCATGTTTATACTGATGATTAGTACTGGCCCTGAATGGTCTCAAGTTAGATGTCAAATATTGATGATTAAGTGTGTCACTGGAATATATGACAATTTTGTGAATGCTCTCAAAATTTTGAAATATGCTTATGACCCAGTAAGAGATGCCAAGGACCATGGTGGTTAAGAACATGGCAGTGGAGTCAGACTTTGTTTGAAATGCCAGCACTCCCATTTACCAGATATGTGAATGTAGGTAAACCTTTCTGAGCTTCAGTTTCCATATCAGTAATAATC